CCCAATGGGGACAGAGCTCAGGCTGGCATGCCTCTTCCAGAAAAATCTCTCTTGAGGGGGAAAATAAGAAAGACCAGGCTTCCTGCTTCTTTGGATTCAAGATTCCCTCTTTCCAGTCCCCATTCAATATGACTGAGGCCCAAAATAGGGCACCCAGGGACACTCACCCACAGCTTGGTAGTAGGCCAGGAAGCCCTTGTAGAACATGATGGTGCCATTCTCCTCATTGGAGAAGTCTGTGTGGAAGGTCACTAGCATCTTGTTTCCTTCAGATACAAATTCCTGTTTTCCTGGGGGATTGCCCAGTGGAGAACCCAGTTGCCCACAGAACCTCCCCAGGGTTTTCTTATCGGCAGAGATCTGGTGGAGGAAGGACAAGGGGTAGGAAGACGGGCTGTTGAGACTTTTTCCATGTGCAAAGTCAGCGATGGTCCTCCTTCTCTTGTCCCAAAGAGTGACTAAGCCCCACTCTGGAATGGCCTCCAGCTGGTATCCACAGGCTGGGCTCTGGCTGTTGCAAACTTCCCCAGGTGACTTTCATCTGTCTGCCTGAGTCTCCCATTGACTAACTATTTTCCTGTTCTCCTGTGCCCCTTCACTGTTTATGTGCCCCCAGCTACTTTCAGACTTTTCTTCAGTCACACCCCATCTCGTGCCTGTCTTCCACTGGAGTCCTGATTGTCTCTACCCAGCCTTTATCTTGCCTTCATTCCTAGAACCTGGACTGATCTGCTTTAATTTCTCTGCTGTTATCCCACCTCACCTGATTCAAACCATTCACATCCAGCCATGTCTTCTGACACACGTAGCTGAATGTGAGCCTCTGGGGCCCACCAGCCTTAGCATCAGCAAGCATTGCCCAGCTTCCCTTATTTCTTTCTTCATGATTCGTTAGCTCATCAAAAGCAGATGTCCTTTTCCCTACTCTGTTCCTCACTGTCCCTGCCAACAAGACCCCTCCCCCAGCACTGTAAACTTCCCAAGCCCACTGGACTAGAAAAATGTATCCTTTTCATGTTATTCTCTCACAACCTCCTGAGAATGGTATTTATTGGACATGTGTAGGATCTTTTTGAATCCTGAAGCTAGAATTTCACTTTTATTGGATGTAGGAAGATGGGACTGGGAAGGTACACTTGGTTATTACAGAGGTGAGGGGACTGTGTCCATTGACCTTGCTGAAGGCTACGCTTGAGCTACCACCACACACATTTCTCTTCCCCATGTTCCTGATGCGGCAGGCAGTCATGGTGATTTTCTCCATGGAAACAGGGAAACTGAGGCATGGTGATTTCTCAAAGACTCCCAGCAAGGAGACAGATGACTCTTGTAGACGGTGAATTTCTTGGGAATGGGGACTGTACCTTCCTCCCTCTGTGTTTCTCCCCCACAGTGCTCAATGAAAGCTTCTAAAACTGGTGGACACCATTCATGGCATTTCCTGCCTCCCAGAACTTCACTTGGCCATCAGTTCTTACAGGGCTGGGGCTGTGTCCGTGGATGAGGAGTGTACCAGGGTTTCAGAGCCACCCAGCTCTCCCTCTGCTCTCCCAGCCTGACCTCCTACCTTGACATAGTCATAGAAACAGCCTTCAGAAGGCTCCAGGTCAAACTGCCAGAAGACGAGCTTCACCCTGTATCCCGTGGGGACTGTGATCACAGTGGTTGTCTCAAAGTTGTTGGGGTAAGGCTTGGGGTACAGAGGGGAAGTCACCTCCCCAAAGAGCTCCTGAGCCTTGGGGATGGAGCCTCCCACACTGCAGAACAGGACCGGCACCAGGAGGTATAAAAGCCACCTGCCAGAAAGAAAGAGGGTGACTGGAGTGGGGGATGGGATGGTCGTACTGTTGGCCATTTTCCCCTCTGCTCATTGTACACCTCGCAGATGTTCCAGGTGGGTGTGGGTGGAGTGGGGAGGCAGGTCCCTGCAGCTGCTGCATTGATTGCTCCTCCTCAGGGCAGTGTCCAGTCCAGAGGTCATCACACTGCCTTCACCTCTCTCCCCATCCTCCTCCCCTGCCCTGTCCCATCACTTCCCACCCCATTCCTGGAATAGGGCTGGCTTGGGACCAATTAATTGAGGGTGAGGGTTTTCAGTCATGGTTCTCTCAAAGGGTTCCCAAAGGCTAAGCAAAGGCCTCTGGGAGAAACTGCCTGTGGAGTATGGAGTGGTGCATAGAGGACACCCCTCCTGGGCAGAATGGGTTCCCCTATCTTGGCACTCCCCTGCTATGAGCTGGGAGGAAGAAGGGGATGGCGGCCATCACCTCATGTCTAAGGTCTCCTTTTGTCCTCAGGAGGAGGGATGGGAAGTATGTATTTGAGTGTGTGCATAATATGCACATTGGAATAGATAAGGAATATGGGGAGGAGAAGGCTGATCTTGTCTCCCTGAAATAAATTTGGGGGCAGGGTTGCCTCCCATGCTCAGGGTCCTCCACTCTGGTTTCTCCCTCCCTCCTTGATCCCCATTAGCCTTACTCACATTTCTCAAGTCCTGCTTTTGGGTCCTAGACTCTCCTGACTGCGTCTTCATCCACTCTGTGTAGAAGGAGAGAGCGGTCATGCAGAGGAGGGAAGGGGGAAGGAGGGACTGACTGTGGAGGGGGAAGGGGAGATCTTTCCCGGAGGAATGTTGTAGGGAATGAACTATTTGCATAAACAAAACTGAAAAAAAATCTGTTTCCACTTTAATTTAGTTTTGGTTTTGAATCCCCTGATGGTGGTGCCACCTGCTGGCCTACATGGGGAAGGGTCAATTTTCAGTGACAGGAAGGCCTTGGGTTGGAGCTTCAGACTTTGGGTTTTCTAAATCTGATCTGAATTCTCCCTTTCTTCAGGGACCTTCCTAGGGAGTGCTTCTGTGTTTACAAGGTTCCCACCCAAAGTGCAGTGAAATCATAGTTGAGGGGACTCTCTTTTCTGGACTGCCGTTTTCCACTAACCCGATTCACCCTGCCCTTAGTCACCCAGCAGCCCTGGTCCAGATATGGCCAGGGTTTCGATACCAGGATGATGTGACAGGGGTAGAGGAGGGCAGCAAAGGCGTGGAAAGAGGAGAATGGAGTTTGGTTGCATTGGGGCCCTGGTTTACTTCACTCATGAATGACACTTAGACATAAAACAGGGATTGCTGTGTCAGGGTGACCCCAAAACTGCACTAGGGTCTGTTCTAAGACTCTTCCTCCCCACCTCGGTGAACTCAGGCCTGCAATGAACTTGGCTCTTACAGAAGCAAGGGCAGCAGAGGAGTGGGTGGAGACGTCCTCTTTTCCTCAGCATCTTGTCAAGACTTTGAGTCCCTGAGGGTCACAGTGGCCTAGGGCTAGGCAAAGAGAGAGGTTGTGGACCAAGAGTGACTTGAGAAGAAGCCAGACGCCTGGGAGGGAGGAGAGCTCTTGTCTCTTCTGTCCACCAGGACATAGTGTTCTGTTTCAAAGGTTTACTCTTCATGGGAGCCTTTCTTCGTCAATCCCCGTGGCTCCAATGCCTTATGGCACCGTATTCCACAGGGAGGCTCGGGCTGCAGAACAGTGTATCCCGCTTGTTTCCCTCATTAGATTAATTCCTCTGTCCCTGCACCCACCCACCCCACTCATTCATCATGAATGGCTGTCTTATTTAGTGTGCCAGGAGCTTTCCTAGGCAAAGGATGGCAAGGATTCACGAAGATGGAGCAGTTTCCCGTTAGGCAGCCACCAAGTCATCACTGAATATGGCTAGAGAGCAGGCACGTGGAAGGTGCAGGATTGACTCAGGTCTGGAGGATTTCTCCAGCAGGCTTGTATGTCAGAGCTGAGGGATGAATCTAATGGCAGGGCTGACCCATGACACGACCCATGGACTTGTCAGGTCAGGAGAGAAAAAATAGGGAGGATAAGGACCAGATCAGGAGACAAGAAAGAGGGGGACTCTTGTCTAGCAAACTGCACATTAGCATCCTGACAGCAGTGTGTGTGTGTGTTCATGGTGGGGGCAGGATGGCAGAGGGAACAGGGAAGGAGGAGGTGTTCCGAAAAGGTACGTCTTAGCTGAAGCTCTCCCATCCTATCTACGGATTCTGAGTTCTGTCCTAGTATTATGCAACATGACTGGAAATGGACAAACCTGGACCTCATTGGTTCAGTCTCAGCCTAACCTCCACTCTACCCAACCACTCAAAATAACCTTTACTTAAACATTTGACTTATGCCCTTGACTTATAACCAGAAAGAAGAAACAGCCATATAAAGGTTGCTTAGGCACTTGTTTAAAAAAATTTTTTTTTCTTTATTGATTTTAGAGAGAAAGGGAGAGGGAGAGAGAGATAGAAACATTGATGAGAGAGAACATTGATTGGTCGCCTCCTGCATGCCCCACACTGGGGATTGGGCCCACAACCTGGGCATGTGCCCTGACTGGGGATTGGGCCCACAACCTGGGCATGTGCCCTGACTGGGAATCAAACCAGCGACCTGTTGGTGCATGTGTCAATGCTCAACCACTGAGCCACACCAGCCGGGCTAGGCACTTGTTTTTTTTTTGCATTTTATCTTCAGAGCAGGAGGAAGAGTGAGGAACATCCATGTGAGAGAGACACATCGAGTGGTTACTACCCCAACTGGGGCTGGGGACAAGCTGCAGCCGTGGTACATGCCCTTAGTGGGAACTGAACCTAGGACTCTCTGGTCTGCAGGTTGATGCTCTAGCCGCTGAGCCAAACAGGCCAGGGGTAGGCACTTGTTTTAAAACCAGTATTTGAAGACATTGTTTATTATATTGTTCATTGCTCTTAGGATTTGATTCTAGGGGAAAAATTTTTCTCCCTTAAAGTAATGGTAGGTTTCCCTTTGTGGATATATCTATAATTATATCTATATCTAGATATATAAATACAGATGTAAAGATAAAGATATATATTTTTTGCCTTGGTAGGGAGAAACTTCAATAATAAAAATTAAAAAATAAAACTAATACTTGTTTATTAAATAAAATTTAGCAAACAGAACGACATGGGAAAACAAAACAGCCAGAATTATACCACTTAACCTCTGATGGATATTTTAGAATATTTCTAATAGTCTTTTGTCCTATGTACAGGTTTGTAAAATAGAAATAGCCAAATGTACTTACACATTTGAATCCAATTTTTCAAAAATTTAACCTTTAACTATATAGCTAACTTGATTTTCTAGAAAATTTGTTCTGTTTTATTCATTTTCTAGTTCTATTTGAACAAGTGTATTTTACTTGTGTCCTTTACTTTAAATCACTTTATGTCCTTAATAAAAATTAAAGAGTTGGTCATCTCAGGTGGAGCATGGCCCAGGGTGTCCAGCAGCATGGGGGTGTCTGTAGGAACATCCAGCCCACGGCTGGGCTCAGAAGATGGGGTGTCTGCAGGAGATGGGGCCCCAAGAAAGCCAGGTATGAAGCAGGAATTCCCAGGGAGCAAGAATCTGTACGGATGTGGGGATTGGGAAGGGAAAGTGGGTGTTATGGCAGGTCCTGAGGACCCCAGAGAGGTATCTAGGTGCACTGGAGAGCACATGGCCTTGGCAGTTCTGGACCAGCTGTGTCATCTGGGCAAGTCACTTTGTATTTCTTAACTTCAGGGTCATAACACATCCTTTGCAAACTTGGTGTGAAGAGTCAATGAAATAACATAGGTGAAGCGCCTGGTATAGAGAAGATAATAAAAACCAAGCTATCTCTGAAATAGCAGCTAGGAGTTGTGGTAGGTGGTGCAGCTGACAGTTTGAATATTTGAAGGTCAATTAAGGAGGCTTTGGAATGTTTGAGATGAAATGCAATGATGACCACTTCCCCTGTACACCATTTGAACAGGGGGATGAGAGGGTGGCTCTCTCCCAGGAGAGACAGATGAATCTGTGTCAGCAGAAGATGAAGTTGCAAGTGAAACTCACTGCGATGTACAGGGCATAGCACAAACTGGGCAGAGCACAAACTCACAGGGAGGTGGAGGGAGAGGAGGGGCTGGGGGACACCGTTCCTTTCTGGGATGGGGTCCGCCTTGAGCAGAGGAGGAGTTCTCTCAGTGACTTGAACAGAGATTCCCTGACCACCCCTCTCCCCACCCACAGGGCCCAGTCTTCACTTTCAACCCTCTCCTGCCTGGGGCCTCCACAGTGCTGGTGCCAATGCTCAGCACACCCAGGTCAGCCCTTCTCCCCCATCACTCCCTTGATCCAGTCCACATAGTTGAGCACTTTGGTGTTGAAGCTGTACCCTTTGCCACACCCAATGCCCCAGGATACGATGCCCGTGGCCACCCAGCGATGGGCACGATCGTCCCATACTACATAGGCGCCACCACTGTCCCCCTGGCAGACACTCTGCTGCTGTGTTTTATCCCCAACACAGAACATGTTGTCAGAAAACACGTCAGTCCTCTGTTTCTCTCGAAGCCAGGCCTCGCAGGCCTCCCTTGGGGTGACCGGCAGTCTTGAGTATTTCAACTCAGTAGTTAACCAGCCCATCTCCACACCAAACCCACTGACATAGCCCATTAGGCCGCTGCGGTAGAGGGTCTCATTGTCAGGCAGACAGATGGGGAGGAGGTGGGGGCTGAGGGGGACTCTTTCCTGGAGTTCCAGGAGGGCGATGTCCCCATTGAAGTTGTAGGACTCATTCTGACGGTAGTCTGGGTGCACAACCACACGGCGCACAGGGTGGTTTCCCAGTTTCATCATCTCATCTATGTCTGTGTGGCCCAGGAACACGTCCACCTTCCTCTTCTCTCCGGGAAAGACGCTGTCCTTGGGATAGATGGTGTGGGCAGCAGTAAGAATCCATCTGTCGCCCAGCAGGGCCCCACCTCCACGGCCATAGATATTGGTGAAGGCTTGCCAGGGGAAGTTGCCCAACTTAGCTTTCGAAGAACCCTGGGCCTCCTGGTTCTGAGCGAAGGGGGTGACTGGCTGTCCACATACTGGGAGAGGACAGGTAAGGGTGAGAAATCAGCATGCGTCAAGCCACGTTTATTAAAAACCTACTTCTGTGAAGCGCTCTTCCTCCTGCTTCCTTAGCCATTTTAAGCCACTTTCTTAGATCATGGTGGGACCACCCTGAACAAACTCACGCACCAAGCAGAGCTTGCCTTCAGTGCCTCTTGCCTCTGTTTTCTGTATCATTTCTTCATTCTTAACATCTCCCTCGACTGTTTCCCTCCAACCCACGCCAGAGCACTACTTCAGGCTGCCCTTAGGGCTTTCTGTGCATCGGGAGTAAAATCCGAGACATTTATTCAGAGGGGTTGGAAAGGTAATGTTTTGACTCAAAAGAAGAAGAAAAAAAAAGGTGGAGTTTCGCCCTGGCCAGTTTGGCTCAGCGGTTAGAGCGTCGGCCTGCGGTCTGGAGAGACCTGGGTTCGGTTCCCGCTAAGGGCACGTACCTCAGTTGCAGTTTGTTCCCGGCCCTGGTTGGTCGTGCGGGTGGCAGCCACTCGATGTGTCCCTTCACGTCGATGTTTCTCTCTCTCTCTCCCTTCCTCTCTCTCCCTCCCACTCTATCTGTACAAAAAATGGAAAAATATTCTCGGGTGAGGATAAAAAAAAAAAAAAAAGGCGGAGTTTCAAAAATGATAGACTCAAATCTTCAAATACTGGTGATGGAAATTCAAAATGGTACAACCATGGTGGAAAACAGTTTGGTAATTCCTCAAAAAGTTAAACATAGAGTTATGATAAAGCCCAGCAATTCCACTCCTACATATATACCCAAGAGAACTGAGAACAGCTGTTCAAATAGGAACTTGCATGTGAATGCTCATAGCAGCATTGTCCATAAAAGGCAAAAAGTGGAAACCCAAATGTCCATCAACTAATGAATGGATAAACAAAATGTGGTGTATCCATATAGTGGAATTCTATTCAGTCATGAAAGGAAGGAAGTACTGATACATGCTACAGTGTGGATGAACCTTGAACACATTATGTTAAATGAAAGAAGCCAGACACAAAAGACCGCATATTGTTCCACTGACATGAAATGTTTGGAATAGGTAAATCCATAGAGACAGAAAGCAGATTAGTGGTTGCCAGGGGATGAGGGAGGGGCAGTTGGAGGTACTGGGTTTCTTTTTGGGATGATGGGAATGTTTTGGAATTAGTGGTAATGGTTGCACAGGATTGTAAATACACTAAAAATTACTAAGTTGTATTCTCTGAAATGGTGAATTTTATGTTACATAAATTTTATCTCAGTAAAATAACTAAAAAAAAAAAAAAAGTAGACTTTCTGGCCTGTGGGGTCTAGGTACAGAAGTATTTTGGGAACAGAGAGCCTGTCTGTGTATCCCTAAAGCATACTGTACCAAGACAGGGTTTTCTCTTATTTCAACCCTGCCCCTCTGTCTTCTTCATTTTCCCATTTGATTAACTTTCTTTTTTTTTTTTATCCTCACCCGAGGACATTTTTCCATTTTTTGTTCAGATAGAGTGGGAGGGAGAGAGGAAGAGAGAGAAACATCGATGTGAAAGGGACACATCGAGTGGCTGCCACCCGCACGACCAGCCAGGGCTGGGGACAAACTGCAACTGAGGTACGCGCCCTTAGTGGGAAAGGAACCCGGGTCTCTCTGGACCGCAGGCTGACGCTCTAACTGCTGAGCCAAACCGGCCAGGGCCCATTTGATTAACTTTCTTCATGCTTTTGCTTTCTCAGTTATCCCTTGATCTACGAAGAATAAGGGACAAGCTCCTTGCCTCTTCTTTTCTGGGCCTTCTTGGTTTCCCTCTTCTGCCTTTATCACTTCTTTCTATTTGAAGGCTTTCCTTTAACCCCCTGGATCCTCTTCCACAGGCCCCATGTACAGCTAAGTCTTGTTTGGAAAGTAGCCATAGTCATAGCACAGGCAGGTCACTACTCACCAGGCACACAGTGAGGAACCTCCTCCCTGTCCTGTGTCTCTTCCCCAGGGTCCTGGGCTGCGCAGGTGAGTGTCTCTGAGGAGTGAAATGAGGGGCGGCAAAGAAACAGGCTCAGAATTGGGAGGTGGGGCTAAAAGAGTAGGTGCCACCGCCTCTTGGTGGGAGTAAGGCAGCTAGAAGCTGGTTCACCAGCAGGTAAGGACTCACCTGCTGGCAGCGCCTGATAGTAGGGCTCCTGGCAGTGGTTCTGGATCTGGGAGAAGTTGTCTCCAGGTATGTGTGTGGCCTGAGAGTCCACACTAACCTGGCTGATGGGCTGACTATGGTTCATACCTATAGGACCTAGATCAGAATTGCAAACTGGAAACCCAGGGACTGATTCTGGCCCATGGCCATGTGTAGTTTGACCTGTACAGTGTTTTTTTTTTAGACAGTTGAACTATTTTTCACGGATCAGTTGTCAATGCTAAAAAAGTTTGAAAATAACTATGAAAAGTAGGCTATGGGGAAACAGGCATTTTCAGACATGATTAATGGGTGTGTAAATTACTAAAACATCTTTGGAGGGAAATTTAGCAATATCAAAATTAAAAATACATTTAAAAAAAATCCTCACCCGAGAATATTTTTACATTTATCATGAGATAGAGTGGGAGGGAGGGTGAGAGAGGTACGTGCCCTTGACCAGAATCGAACCCACAACTCCTTGGTCCTGGCTGACGCTCTAACTACTGAGTCAAACCAGTCAGGGCAAAATATAATTTTGTTTCACCTAGCATTTCCTTTTCTGAGAATTTACCCTCATATGTGTGCTCCAAGTTGTGTATACAAGATATTTATAGCAGTACTGTTTGTGGCAGCAAAATATTTATCAATGGAGGACTGATTAAATACATTATGACATATCATATCAAAGGAATATTATATGGTCATTAAAAAATTAGGCAATGCTAGCCACCTGTATATGGGATGATCTTTAAGATATATCACTGAGTAAAAATTTAAAACATTGTGAATAGTATGCAACACACACACTGTTATATTTGAATGGCATAGCATGTCTTTGGAAGAATACCCAGGAAGTGGGAACCAAGTAGTTCTGGACAAGGTAGCCAGGGAATAAAGGTCCAGAGATCAGAGGAAGAATTACTTTTTACCATATGTTTTTGAAACTTTTATCAGGTGCATGTATTATCTTTCAAAATATTCTGAGTTACCAGTTGAAAATCTGAAATTTCACTTAAAATCAGGATTTTTTTACTTAAAAAATGAGATGATCTGCAAACCCTGGGCCAGTACATTGGCATGGAAACAACTGCTGGAGCTGAACAATGGCTTCCCTTTAACTGGGCAGCTCACCAGCAGGGGCTGGCAGGGGTCAGGGAAGGGGAGGGCCCAGGTGCTCCTGAGTCCCCAGTCTCAACAGTCACTCAAGCTTCCACCTGCCGAATCAAGACACCAGGGGCCATGGCTATGGGCAGAGAGTGCACCCCAGGACAGACACTCACTCACGGCTTGGTAGAGGACCAGGAAGCCCTTGTGGAGGCCAGTTGTCTTATCCTCAGAGGAGGCAGGTGCACGGAAAGTCAGCCGCAAACTGTTCCCCGAGGACACAAACTCCCTCTGACCAGGAGGGCTGCCCAGAGGAGAGCCCACCTGGCTTGGATCTTTTCCACTGGCTGTGATCTGAAAGGGAGACAGGCAGGTGTGGGGTGAATCTGCACCACAGGTGTTCACAGGGTCACATCATGGGCATCAACTCCATCCCCATCTAGCAGGTCTGCACACCTCTGGAGCTAAGAAGCTATACCCTGTGGAAATTTGCTCAAGTAGATTCCTATTCCATTATTGACTCCCAAGTTTCTTTCAGACATGACCATAGATACCTTACATGTTTCTTTAGCCTACTATAATTATCTCATAAAGCCCACCATATTTACCTTCTTTCAAGAAGCTCCTTGGGAATAGAGTCAATAGCATCATAATAACTATGTTTGGTGACAAATAGTTACTAGACGTATTGTGGTGATCACTTTGTAAGGTATATAAATACTGAGTCAATATGTTGTACACCTGAAACTAATATAATACCTGCCACTGCTTGTTTACCAGAAGGCTGGCAACTCTGATCAGGAGACTAGAGGATTCCTCTCCTGAAGATGGCTGTCCCAAAGAAATTACTTCTGCATGCTGACATTTGGGAGGGTCCCCACAGCACATCTAAGTCACCTTGCTGATAACCTTGTTGTCAAACTTGTCATTTCACAGATTTTATCTATCCATACAGAGCATCCAATATCATTCTAGTACTTCACTCTTAAATATGAACAAACAGCCAAGAATTGTTAGACATTGTAGGAGAGTCTCTAACATGAAAATTAGAGACTAAAATAAATAAAGTAAAAAAGAACTTGGACAAAGTAGAGATAATACACTCAAACATAATTAAAAACCTTTGAACATAATCCCATTACAGGGAAAAGAGTATTGTCTATTAAACAAGAACAATATTCTATAAAAAGGCACATTTAGCACTGGCCAGTTTGGCTCAGCGGTTGGAGCATTGGCCTGCACACCAGAGAGTCCTGGGTTCAGTTCCCGCTAGGGGCATATACCAAAAAAAATAAAATAAAATAAAATAAAGGCACATTTAGATATAAGCATGAGCCTTTCTTTAGATGTAAAAAAATGTCAGCAACAACAAAAAACCTCATTAAAGTTGGTATTTAAAATGAGGAAATCTTGCCCTGGCCAGTTTGGCTCAGCGGTTAGAGCGTTAACCTGCGGTCCTGAGAGACCCGGGTTCGGTTCCCACTAAGGGCACATACCTCGGTTGCAGTTTGTCCCCGGCCCTGGTTGGTCGTGAGGGTGGCAGCCACTCGATGTGTCCCTTTCATGTCGATGTTTCTCTCTCCCTCTCTCTGTTCCTCTCTCTCCCTCCCACTCTACCTGAGCAAAAAATGGAAAAGTGTCCTCTGGTGAGGATAAAAAATAAAAATAAAAAAAAATAAATAAATTAAATGAGGAAATCTTGCCCGGCCGGTGTGGTTCAGTGGTTGAGCGTCGACCCATGCACCAAGAGGTTGCTGGTTCGACTCCTGGTCAGGACACATGCCCGGGTTGTGGGTCTGATACCCAGTGGGGTGGGGGATGGAGGGAATGCAGAGGTGGCCAATTGATGGTTTCTCATTGATATTTCTTTCTCTCTCCCTTCCTCTCTCTCTAAAATCAATAAAGAAAAAATATTTAAAATGAGGAAATCTCCTAGAAAGTGGAACAAAAGACAAAGAGATGGAAAACACAACAGAACAAATGATAAAACTAGAGAATCACTCCAGATATACAACAGCTGAATTATAGGAGTTCCAGAAATAGAAAATAAAAAGAGTAGACATCTGGAAATAATTTTCAAAAATAATACAAGAATATTCCTAGACTTGAAGGACTAGATTAAAAGAGTCTCTGGATTTAAAGAAACCTGTACAACGAGTAAAGAGCAACCCACATCAAGGTACATCGTAATGAAAGTTCAGAATACTGGTAATAAAGACAATATTCCAAAAGCTCTGGAGAAAAATAACGAAGGATCAGGAATCATAATGCTATCAGACCTAACAACACTAGAGTTAGAAGACAATGCCATCAAATTTCTGAGAGAAAATAACTTCCAACCTAGAATGCAACCCCAATAAACAATTCATCAAATGTGAGGGCAGAACGAAGACATTTAGGGTTGTGTAAGAGCCTCTAAAATTTACTCCCGTATACCTCTTCCGGAGGAGAAAGTGCTCCTCCAAAAATAAACAGCGGGAGTTACTCAGGAAAGAGAATGATGATGGGATTCAGTTCCAACACAGGCCAGGTAAAGGGAATCTCCAGCACGAGGGAGCAGGGAACTCCCAGAAGCTGTGAAGGCTTAGAGAGAGCAACGAATTCAGACTGAAGAAATAAATCATCAAGAGATCTTCAGGTGGAATGTCACCAGAAAAAGGAGGACTCAGAGACTGAGTTTTGTACTTGAATGTGGTTGAGAGGAGATTTACTCTCTTGGCTAAGAATGTGGGGAGATTAGTTACAGAGAACTAAGCAAACCAAAGACTAGAACAAAAACAGACAAAGAACTCCATGTAATTATTGACTCCCGGGGAACCAAAAGTGGGAGAAAAAAAGAAAATACAATTATTGTACGCCATGGGCTCAGATGTGAATATTTTAAAGTCATAACAATGTAAACAATGATTCTACATTTAATTAAAAATGATAGTATTGGTAAACTGGGAGGATGGGGGAGGGGAGATGTAGGTGGTAAAGGTCTGAGATAAAGCTAGGTCTATCTTCTATAGTTGAAAGTTAATGGATAATATGTTTTATTTTTTAAAATCCTCACCCAACGACATTTTTCCATTTATCTTCAGATAGAGTGGGAAGGAGAGAGGAGAGAAAGGGAAAGAAAGAGAGAGAAACATCCACATGAGAGGGACACATTTACATGAGAGGGACACATCTACTGGTTGCCTCCCAAGTGACCCGACCACAGCCGGGACGAACCGCAACCGAGGTATATGTCCTTGGCTGGAATCAAACCCGAGACTCATTGGTCGGCGTGCTGATGCTCTAACTGCTGAACCAAACCGGCCAGGGCTGGACAATATGTTTTAAACAAACAAACAAACAAAACCAGAACAAGCATGCTATTGATATATATGAAAATAAATACCAGATGAATTGTAACTAACTGCCCCAGGAGAGTAGAATGAGGGTGGGGAGCAGGCTGGAGACAGCTGTTTTTAATTATAAGCCTTGCAGTACTCTGATTTAAAAAACAAAAACAAATGTTTTTGAATGTATTATTTTGATATAAATAAAACTAAACCAAGAGATAACAAAAGGTACTGTTTTTAAAGTGTCCTTGTTTTGAATAATGCTCTTATCATAAGAACTTTGGCCACAGCTCCTCTAAGGTAAACTCAGTTACCAAATCTTTTGCTATTATTCATGCCCAGCTTCCTGTCCTGACAGAGTAGGCATTCAGCAAATGCTTGATGGTGTGTGTTTAATAACTGATGTGTGAGTCCTTGCTCTTTATTCCAGGGATTGGCAGTGTTTGTGTGTCCCTTTGGTGCCAAGATGGTAGCGCAGCCAGGGACTGGGCTGCTGGTGGAGGATGTACACTTGGCCAGACCCTCACCTCCTAGGTAAGCCAGTCTGTGCCCCTAACTTAGGCTCTTCATCCATCCTCTGAGATTCAGGGCACTGCCAGCACCCACTGCCCCTGGGCTCCAGGCCAGGAGGCTCCCTCCCGCGTCCCTCCAGGACCCCAGCTCACTGTGACAGAGTCCCGCTCACAGTCCTGGGATAGCTCCAGGTCGAAGTCCTGGAAGACCAGCTTCACAGCAAAGCCCTCTGGAGCCTCGATGACAGTGGTGCTCTCTTGACCTTTGAGGTATGGCTCTGGGTACCCCGGGGATGTCAGCTGCTGGGGTATCTGCTGGGCCAAGAGCACAGAGCCCTGCGTGGGGCAAGCCTGGAAGACTCCCCAGAGAAGTAGCCACCACCTGTGAGTGGGTGAGGGCAAGATGAATCCACACCGCTGTGACCTGAGGCCTGTGGAATCATGAGGAGTTGGGGCAGGCTATGCTAAAGGACTGAGAGACCTAGCAAAGGCATTAGCAGCTGTGGCCTCAGCCCTTGAGGCCCGAGACCTCTGCCTGCTTCCTTATTGCCCCTGTCTGCCCCAGTTTCTTAGCTCCATCGTGAGTTTTCCACCATTGCTTATCTCCCTGGAGAATTTCATGCAGAGTTGGGAGCTATTTTTTTGCTTCAGCAGATCCCAACCCCACCCTGGGCTCTGAGGGAGACACGGTGATACAAGGGAGGGGCAGTTAAATATGTTAATTTCCTGGCTCCCAGCATTGTGCCTCACCACCCCCAGGGAAGGCTGCTAGAAGCTACAGCCTACTTCTAATTCCCCTCTGCATTAAATGGCAGTGAGTGCATGTGTGTAGTGTGTGAGTGTACATACCCCCTGGGGTCCTGCCCTCCCTTCTCTCCACCCTCCCTTCTCCCTACCCTTTTCCTTTCCTCTCTCCAAGAGCACACTCACATCATGCCTGGGCAGCTTGTGGAGTGGGGGCTTCCCCAGATATAATTCCACGTCTCTGAGACCAGGCATCTGGAATGTACCATCTGGGACCTTCAAGAGCACTTGGCTCAGGCCAAAGAACAAGAGGTGGGGCTGGAGAGGGCCCTGAGGGGGAGGAGGGAGCAGTTACTGGAAATGAGTTAAGTAATTCTTCTGTTCCTCTTTCTAATTCTCTGGGTCGATCGCCACCTACTGTCTGATTTGGGAATTGCTCAACCGCCACAATTGAAGAGGAAAAACTCCCAAACCATGCTGGCTCTCAGAGATCAGGGGTGGGAGGGCACTGATTCTGGACTTTTTTGTACTATTTACAAAATAGCAAATAGTAGGTTGGTGCCTTGTGAGTTACGGCTGTTGCCTTTAGTTGGCCATATGTCCCTGACCTTTCCACTCATTTATGTTATCAGCCTGTCTCTTGTAGAAATTGAAGTTTGTGACCTGTGAACTTGAGCTTCTCCTCCTCCCCTCCCTCACCAAGGGTGTCTGGGGCCCTCACTTAGGTAGTCTTTTGCATCCTGCTCACAAACTCTGGAAGCTGCTCGTCCAGCAGGGTCAGGTTGGCCCAGGGCCAGGAGCAGGCCCAGACTCCAGCTTCTGTAAGCAGATACCAGGGGCCATGACTAGGGACAGATACTCACCCATGGCTTGATAGGGGGCCAGGAGGCCTCAATGAGATGGGTGTGTGGAATGTTAGCAGCAGCCTGTTCCCCAAAGACACAAACTCCCTCTGACCAGGAGATAGCCCAGTGGGGAGCCCTGTTTCCATTGAATCAGCTCAGAGCAGACCCCCCAGCCTCGGGCTGTGATCTGAAAGGGAGGGGAAGAATGAGGAGGCAGGCAGGTGTGGAGTGACTCTGCACCACTGGTGGTTACAGGGTTATGTGCTGGGTGTAGACTCCAGCCTCATCTAGAAGTTCTGCACACCTCCGGGGCTCAGAGCTATAACTCACGGTGGCTTTGTCAAATAGTTTTCTTATCCTTTCTCTCCCCATTATTTGGGCCACAAAGGCTGCTAAGAAAGGCTCCTCACCCCCTCTAGTGCTCTTGGTCCACAATTCCTTCAGGAGATTCTCTGGGAACCTTTAGGAGCACTCCCAAGCAATCTGCTAGCCTGGGCTCACCATCACCGATGGCTAACACAGTGCCTAACTCATGTTCAGAACTGTGAAATGTGTGGGCTTCCTCTCTTCTTCCCTGCTACTCTAACCCTCTAATCCTCCTCATCCAGCACCAGGGTCACTTTAAGTACTTTTCTGCTACCACTCTTTGGACCCGACTTTTTCCTCTTCCCCTTTTCCTGCAGAATACTCCCTCTGGCCCTCAACAAAACACTTTCTGCCTCTGAATGAAAACTAGGAAAATCCAGAACTTCTTTGCTTTGTGCTTCTGTGACCTCCCCAGGGTCCTCTCCACTCCCCTTCCCCTCCGCCTTTCACATTCAGCCCCCTGCGGGTTGGTTGTAACACAGCTATCTAATAACAAAGTGAGAAACATTTAAAAATACAAACTATACTAAAAAATGGTATACTTCTGAATATTTTGTAATCCTGTAACAGTAATAAGCAGCTCCTCTCTACTCTCTCTGGGTCATTCCAAATGACCACTGTTCCTTCCCAAGCACCATTCCTCTGGGGTCTTCTCCTTCCTAGAGCCTTGTCCTTCCATCCTAGTCCAAGGGATAGTAGGGGGGCAATCCCTGTCACCCTCATTCTATGAAATAATCTCTACTTAGAATTCATGCATGCTGCTCAGGTCCCTGGTGGTATGTATGTTCTCTTCCTACTTGCTACTCTATTTTTATTTGTCCCTCACCTCCATTGCTTTCCTTCCTTTGTCCAGGACTTTATTCTCTAAAGTTCATCTGCCTCCTTGCCCTGGCCGGTTTGGCTCAGCGGTTAGAGCGTCCACCTGCGGTCCAGAGAGGCCTGGGTTCGGTACCCGCTAAGGGCATGTACCTCGGTTGCAGTTTGTCCCCGGCCCTGGTTGGTCGTGCGGGTGGCAGCCACTCAATGTGTCCCTTTCACATCGATGTTTCCCTCTCTCTCTCTTCCTCTCTCTACCTCCCACTCTGTCTGTACAAAAAATGGAAAAATGTCCTCGGATGAGGATTAAAAAAAATAAATAAATAAAGTTCATCTGCCTCCTTGATCCAAACTTCAGCTCTGACAGCCTCCTCTCCTCTGAGCATCTGTTGCTCCATCTTCCTGGGGAGCCTCTGATGCAAGAAGGCAGTTTCTTTTTTGTGTGTGTGGTACGTGCCCCTAGCGAACCGAACCCGGGCCTCTCTGGTCTGCAGGCCGACGCTCAACCACTGAGCCACACGAAGGCCAGGGCGAGAAGGCAGTTTCTTATTGGGCTTAGAAATTTTTATTGTCTTCCAAGTAATAGAGGATCAGTGGAGATGAGGACCCCAAATATCATGATCAGAGCTTTCTGTCTCCCTTATGATCACCCCAGGGAAAGGGTGCTGCAGGACACAGACAAATTCCAAATCCTGAGTTAACTGAACTCAGGGTTTTGCTGCTTCCCTCTCTTTCCTTTTTCTTTTTTTTTAAATTTATTTTTCAATTATAGTTGACATACAATATTATATTAGTTTCAGGTGTACAACATGGTGATTATATATTTATGTATCTTAAAGTGAACCCCCAATAAGTCTAGTATCCATCCGACATCATACATACTGATTACAATATTATTGACTATATTCCTTATGCTGTATTTTACACCCCTTTGACTATTATAACCGGAAATTTGTACTTCTTAATCCCTTTTGCCTTTTTCACCCATCCCTGTACCTCCTCACCCCTCCCATCTGACAACCATCAGTTCGTTCTCTGTTCCTCTCTTTCATTTTCTAGCTCTTTCCACAAGGCTGATTTCTATCTTTCCTGGTAGATCACAAAGTAGGGATTCCTTCTGTTAATTTAAATGATTGCAGACTCTGAAACTTTTTGGAAAAAAAAGCACACAGAGTAATGGAATTTTATCTTTATACTTAAAAGAAGGGAAAGAGAGTCCCAGAGGTACTCTTCTGTTCTAACAGACAACCCACAATCTCACGAGTACTTATGCTTTCTGGGAAGTAAAAGGTTAATTAAAAAAAATTATTTTTTTATCCTCACTCGAGGACATTTTTGCACTTATCTTCAGATAGAGCAAGAGAGAGAGAGAGAGAGGAAGAGAGAGAGAAACATTGATGTGAGAGAGACACATCCAGTGGTTGCCACCCACACGACCCCAACCAGGGCTGGGGACAAACTGCAACCGAGGTATGTGCCCTTAGTGGGAACCTAACCCAGGACTCTCTGGTTCATGGCCGATGCTCTAACTGCTGAGCCAAACCGGCCAGGGCTAATTAAAAATGTTTAGTAAGTAATAAGTTATCAATGACCAGACTTGCAGAATTAAAAAAAATTTTTTTTTCTTTATTGATTTTTAGAGAGAGAAGGAAGAGGGAGAGAGAGATAGAAACATCGATGAAAGATAACATCGATTGGCTGCCTCCTGCATGCCCCCCACTGGGGTTCAGGCCCACAACCTGGGCATGTGCCCTCACCGGGATTCGAACCAGCGACCTTTTGGTGTGTGGGTCGATGTTCAACAACTGAGTCACACAGGCCGGGCCAGTCTTGCAGGATTTTAAGTTGTATAGACTACATGGTTATATAGCATGAATATCTTTAAATATTTCTTTGTATAAATGAGAGTCCAAAGATGATATAAATATAACACGGAACAATATTATATATTTTCACACCAGTGAGATTGAATGTTTTTGATTCTATACTTTATCAGAATCAATTGTATGAGCAGAATCGTTTCTGATTTTCTGCAACGCTAGGCTAAGAAGGAGTACATTCTGTTCTCATCTTGCTCAGATTTATTTTCTTAGTAGTTGTGAGGCTTGCGTTTTTTTGTTTTTTGTTTTTTTTTGTGGTATGTGCCCCTAGCGGGAACCGAACCCAGGACTCTCTGGTCTACAGGCTGATGCTCAACCACTGAGCTGAACTGGCCAGGGCAAGGCTTGCTTTTTAAAACTAAGCACCAGAATTTCATTAGAGAGAATTTAGAGGTAATAAAGAACAGGCCTGAGAAGCTGAAAATGTACACAAGAAAAGAAAAAGCTAACAAATGTAATATGGGACACATTCTATCTTTCACTTACAATTGGGAGTCAGGTCCCCTCACTCCAGGGCAAGTGAGGAGCTGGCCCAGGTGAGGCCTTGGGTGTGGCTGGGGAAGGCTCCGGGAGCAGGAGGAGCAGTTACTGGAAATACAGTAATTACCAACATGACTTAAAAAAAACATCTCTAGAGTAGACACCACTTGTAATCTGGCTTAGGGATGACTGAAATATTGGAGCTAGTTTTTACCCCAGTTGAAGCTTGATATTTCTGAGACCAGGAAGTCTGCTTACCCATCAACAACGAGACTTAACTTGAAGGAGAAGCTGAATAAAGTTCTCTTGGGATCATGCCAGCTACCTATTTTTTTTTTTTTAATTCTCTTTCTTACCCTGGCCGGTTTGGCTTAGCAGTTAGAGTGTTGGCATGCGGACCAGAGACTCCCGGGTTCAGTTTCCGCTAAGGGGGAGGTTCATCCCAGGCCCCTGTTGGGGTTGTGCGGGTGGCAACCAGTCGATGTGTCTCTCTCACATCGATGTTTCTCTGTCTCTCTCTTCTCCCCTCTCTTCCTCCTGCTCTTGGTGTGTAGTGAGAGAACCGAGAGACCACCAGAGCCAAATTAAAGCCAAATAGAGAGCAAAACCGGCTGGCGACTGATTCCGAGTTCTCAGAGACCAGCCCTGGGGCCTCCAAATGTTGTGGTGCGACAGAGTCAAAGAAAGACCACTAGAGAATTGAAGTCCAAATAAGAGCCGTTTATTAGCAGGCTGGCGTCTGATTCCGAACACCCCTGTGACAGAGTCTTTTCTGAGCCCTGATATGCTTTATTATATGCCTTTTATACCTTACAGAAAATAGAATCTTCTTGGTATAATGCCCAGGGCTACAACAATGCTGTATAGAATTAGTTTGCCTTGGGGATAACAGGAGCACCCAGGCACACCCAGAACACCCAGGAATACTCAGGCATTTCAAGGTGCATTGGGTCACACTTAGCCCCTAGCAGCACAAACAGAATGCAAGCCTAATTCCTTAAGATTGTGCGGGAGGTCGAGTCTCTGACTTAAGACCTCCAGGCTCCGTGGACTCTGTCAGACACATAGCTGTCTCCCAACAATTTCTTCTTTACAAAACAAGTTCAGTTAGAGAGCACACAGTGACTTTCCCAATCATCAATTATGAATCTATAAACAAGTCAGCACAGCCCTGGCCGGTTTGGCTCAGCGGTTGGAGCGTTGGCCTGCGGTACAGAGAGACCCGGGTTCAGTTCCCGCTAAGGGCACGTGCCTCGGTTGCAGTTTGTCCCCGGCCCTGGTTGGTCGTGCGGGTGGCAGCCACTCGATGTGTCCCTTCACATCGATGTTTCTCTCTCTCTCTCTTCCTCTCTCACACTCCCGCTCTATCTGAACAAAAAATGGAAAAATGTCCTCGGGTGAGGATTAAAAAAAACAAAAACAAAAACAAGTCAGCACAATAATTTACCAATCATCAATTATGGGGTTATGAACATGTCAGCACACTCTATCTGAAGATAAATGCAAAAATGTCCTTGGGTAAGGATTAAAAAAAAAAAAATTCTCGCCCTGGCCGGTTTGGCTCAGCGGTTGGAGCGTCGGCCTGCGAACCAGAGAGTCCCAGGTTCGGTTTCTGCTAGGGGCACGTACCAAAAATAAAAAAAAAATTCTCTTCCTTAAAGCCTCTATTTCCATTTCTTTGTGTTCCCAGCTCTCTATCTCTGCCCTTCCTTTCTAGGCCGTGTGGTCTGGGAAGGAGAGTGATGGCCATGTGGAGGCACCAGGACCCGACCTCATTCAAATGAAGCGGTGGAGAAAGGAAGACTTAGTGAAGGTGGTAGAATTCACCTCCGTGGACTCCTGCACTGTTCCACCTTATCCTGAGTTGGAAACCTGGAGGTACAGCCAGTATCTGAGGTCCTGCCTTCTCATTGGATGTAAGGGTATGTAAGGTGGCTGACTGTGGACTGTGTGGCCCATGGTCCTTAGAAGTCCAGGTTGGGCCACTTCTTGTCAATTGAGGGAGGAGGCAGATGAAACCCCAGAAGAGGAAGCCTTCTACTGACACCTGTAAGTAAAAAGCCGGGACCTGCAGGAACAGCCCATGAATGAGAGGAACCATAGCATGAGCCTGTAAGAATCTGTCCTGGAAGGAAGGCTACTGAAGCAGTCACTAGATTATAAGGGTTAGGAACCCCATATTATGTTCTTGGCTTCTCTGACTATGTTTCACTATAGCTACTCCTTCATCATCCAGTCATCTAACGAGCTAGAAGCCCTAACAATACTGGTGACTTTTGCATTTATTGCCACCCACCCTGACTCACTTTATTTTTTATTTTTAGTTTTTGCTATTCTTTTATTTTTTAAATCCTCACCTAAGGATATTTTTTCATTTATCTTCAGATAGAGGGTGAAGGAGGGAGAGTGAGAGAGAGAGAGAGAGAGATTGATGTGAGAGAGACACATCGATTGGTTGAGAGAGAGAGATTGATGTGAGAGAGACACATCGATTGGTTGCCTCCACATGACCCCGATCAGGGCTGGGGACCAAACTGCAACCGAGGTACATGCCCTTGACCGGAACTGAACCCACCACTCCTTGGTCTATGGGCCGATGCTCTAACCGCTGAGCCAAACTGGCCAGACCTGTGCTGTTGTTTATTTATTTATTATTTTAAAAATTATTTTATTTTTGCCCTCTGCCTCTTCCCTGGTGCACCCGCCTGCTCCCTCGCTTCTCCCCCTTTCCTCCTCCTCGTCCCCTCTCCTCCCCTCCCTTCTTCCTTCTCCACCTCCCCCCTTCTCGGCTTCCTTCCCCCATCCCCTTGGTTCCCCCTCCCTGCCCTCGCTCTCTAAAATTAAAAAAAAGCCCTGGCCGGTTTGGCTCAGCGGTTGGAGCGTCGGCCTGCGGTCCGGAGAGACCCGGGTTCGGTTCCCGCTAAGGGCGCGTACCTCGGTTGCAGTTTGTCCCCGGCCCTGGTTGGTCGTGCGGGTGGCAGCCACTCGATGTGTCCCTTCACGTCGATGTTTCTCACTCTCTCTCTCTTCCTCTCTTTCCCTCCCGCTCTATCTGAACAAAAAATGGAAAAATGTCCTCGGGTGAGGATAAAAAATAAAATTAAATTAAATTAAATTTAAAAAAAATTATTTTATTTTTTACAGATGTTTCTCCTTTTTCACCCTTTGACCCCCTTCTCCCAATCCTAAAACCCCTCCCAGCATTGTTGTCTATGTCCATGGTTACGCATACATGTATATAAGTTCTGTGGTTTATCCCCCTCCCCGTCCCCCTTTTCTGAGGTTTGTCAGTCTGTACCCTACTTCTGTGTCTCTGGCTGACTCACCTTATTTGAATCACTCATCGCCAATTCATTTTATTGTTGTTGTCATCTCCCTGAGTGACTGATAGGTCTAGCAAGATCATTAGTGCCTTACCCACCATAAAATTAATGCTCCCTCTCTTTGTTGCTTTGGTGGACTAACTTACTCCAATCTTCCAGAACACTCATTCGAATCATCTGTTGGGAGAGCATTCATCTCAGTTTGGTTGGAACAGTCATCGTTTACACTGGTTTTCCTAGTGTGGTTATTCATAGTGTCCCCTTTCCCTTTCAAAGGTGACCTGGGTTGGACAAGCTTTATGGTCATCCTAGTGAAAGGTGCTTTTCGGTCACTTCAGTATGGTGATTGTGCTACAAGAGACCTCCCACTCACTGTCACCAGTTGCTGTGGACACTACCCCAGCCTGAGCCCTGGTTCCCTGGAACACTATCCAGCAGCTCTGTGCCCAGTGCCTCAGTCACCATGCTTCCATGAACAACATGATACTCACCTGGAGTCACACATGAGACACATGCTCACCAACATGTCTCTGCTTCTTCCCTCTCCACTGAAAGCAGAGCTTCTTTCCTATTTCGGTATTTAAAAAGTAATCTCGCCCAGCTGATGTGGCTCAGTGGTTGAGCGTCGACCCATGCATCAAGAGGCAGCCGGTTGGATTCCCAGTCAGGGCAGATGCTCAGACTGTGGGCCAAATTCCCAGTGAGGGTCATGCAGGAGGAAGCCAATCAGTGTTCTCTCTCTTACATGTTTCTATCTCTTTCTCCCTCTCCTTTCCTCTCTCCCTCTAAAAAAAAAAAAAGGTAATCTCAATGTATTCAGGTCTGAAAGGCAGGCAGGAGAGGGATGGGCTTGTTCCAAAGTTCCAAAGTCTGTTCTCCATCCATAAGAACTCAGCATGAGAAAGAGGCTGAGGACATTCCCAAATGAACCCTCCTGCCTCTACACCCCTCCCCCCATGCCCAAGGTTGGCGGGAAGGGAGGGCAGGGAGGAGCCCTCAAAGCAGAAAACAAGAAGGATTGTGGGAGAGATTTGCAATGTGCTTGGAGTGAGGAAAATGGATGTAGTGGAATAGTATTTTGCCTCTTTCTGCCTGTTGGCAGCAGTATGGCTGGCCCCATCAGAAAAAAAAAAAATATCTGTCATCAGCATGAGATCCATTTACTCTCCCAGGCCTAAGGAGAACTTGCCATTTAGACCCTGAGACATGCACATATATACATATATTCATTCATTTAACAAGTATTTCTTGAACGCCTATTATGTGCCAAGTGTTCTAGGTGTAGAATGTATGGAAATCCTTACATCCTATTTGGTCTTATGTTCTAGACACACACACACACACACACACGCACACACACACACACACACACACACACTCTTACAGATACACACTTCTCATAGAAGAATCTATTACTTCCTCTATTTTGCATGTAATAATATGCCTCCTCACAAATGTAGCAAATTATAGACCCAAACAGGGTACGTTCTGGATCTTTGTTTTTTTTTTTTATCTTCACCCGAGGATATTTTTCCTTTTTTTTTTTTTTTTGTTCAGATAGAGTGGGAGGGAGAGAGAGGAAGAGAGAGAGAGAGAAACATCGACATGAAAGGGACACATCGAGTGGCTGCCACCCGCACGACCCAGCCAGGGCTGGGGACAAACTGCAACCGAGGTACGTGTCCTTAGTGGGAACCAAACCCGGGTCTCTCTGGACCTCAGGCTGATGCTCTAACTGCTGAGCCAAATGGGCCAGGGCTGGATCTTTGTTCTTTCCAGGTTCAGGAGAGCCACAGTTCCTGGCTAGGAGGGGATGGCAAGAGAGTGATGGTCAGGAGAGAGACAATTTCTCAAATGTAGTCTTAGGATGAAGTCTACCCTGTGTGCCATACACCAACCCCAGCCACACCTGGGGATAATTTCCCATATGCATCTTTTGAGTAGCAGGCTCCTTTCTTATGCTCAAGAGAAAGGCAACAGAGCCCATTTCCCAAGATGAACCAGATGTTGGATTCAATACCCAAGGATTTTAGCACACAAAGATGCAAAGAAAAATTGCTCATATCAAAGAAGAAAGATAGGAACATAAGCAGAGATATAGAAACTTTAAAAAAGAACCAAATGTAAATTCTAGAACTGAAAGAGGAAATATATGAAATTTTAAAAATCACCGGAGGAACTTAATAGAAGAATGGAGATGGCAGAAGGAGTCAGTGACCTTGAAGATAGATAAATAGAAATTATTCAATCTAAAGAACAGAGGAAGGCATTTTTAAAAAAATGAGCAGAAGCTCAGGGGGCAGGATTGGGAGGAGGGTGTCACTGGGGGATAAAGGAGAAATATCTGTAACAAAAATAAATTAATTTAAAAAAATGAGCAGAAGCTCAGGGACCTGTGGGAAATATATATAAAAACCCTTGTTCTTGGAGTCCTAGAAGGGGAGAAAAGAATGAGGCAGAAAAAATATTTGAAGAAATAATGGCTGGAAAGCTCAATGAACTCAAAGCAGAATTGAAATAAAAAAAGCTCACATAGGCCCATCATAGTCACAATGCTGAAAACCAAAGATAAAAAGAAAATCCTGATGGCATCCAGAGAAAGGAACACACTGCAAGCACAGAATGTTTTTAATGTCACTGCTTTCTCATCAAAAACAACACAAACCAGAGGGCAGTGGAACAACATCTTCTAAAAAAATATTTTTCTAGTTAATTTTTAGAGAGAGAGGAAGGGAGAGGGAGAGAGAGAAGCATCCTTATGAAAGCAGAACATGGATGGACTGCCTCCTGCATGCCCCTGACCAGGGAATCAAGCCCATGACCTGGGCATGTACCCATCAGGAATTGAACCAGTGAAAATATTCTTCAAGAATGAAGATGAAATAAAACCATCTTTAAAAAGTTTTATTTTCTTAATTTATTTTTTAGAGAAAGAAGAAGAGAGAGATAGAAATATTGATGAGAGAGAACATTGATTGGCCGCTTCCTGCATGCCCCCCACTGAGGATTTGGCCCACAACCTGGGCATGTGCCCTGACTGGGAATCAAACTGGCGACCTCTTGGTGCATGGGTCGATGCTCAACCACTGAGCCACACCAGTCGGGCAAACCATCTTTAGATAAAAAGAAATCTTTGAGAATTTTTTGTTGGCAGACTTGCATTATGAGAGATGCTAAAGTTCTTGAAGCTTAAGGGAAAGGAATCCAGATGGAAAAACAGATCTGCTGGATGGATAAAGAGAAATGGTAAATTTGTAGGTAAATATAAAATATGTATTTTTCATAATGTCTTTAAAATACATATGCCTATTTAAAGCAACATTATAACATTGTATTGCAGGGTTTATAACATGTATAGATGTAATATACTTGGAAACCGTAGTATGAAAGATGAGGGGGACTTATATGGTTGCCAAGTTTCTTCATCCAATATTAACTCTACAAGGACTCAAAAATGAAGGATGCTGTTTTTTCCAGAGCAGTGGCTTCCTACCTGTGGTCTGGGGAGAATGGGAGGGGGTGTCCCTGAGATCCTTTCAGGGGGTTGTGAGACCAAAGTTATTTTCATAACAATACTAAGATGTCATTTGCTGTTTTCT